CTGCGGACACAATAGATGCATTTGACACTTTATGAAATGGAACATAATATGTCCCCTTTGACACTGCTTTTTAGACGTTTTTACACTTTAGCATGCGTCCCGTTCCAGCAATGTCCCCTCGTCTCTCGCTCCCTCTGGCCTCTCTCTCTCCCTCCCCCGCTCCACATCTTGGCTGTGGGAAAGCCATTTTATCAGCGTCTGTCTGTTGTTCTCTGGTGGGGATAGATACAGAGAAGATAGATGAGTGTTTTGACATGGAGAGTGTTAGACAAACACTCTTATCGGCCCCGGCACTTTAGCCCGACCCCCAAAAACCAGGCTGGTGGAGGGGGGGGCCTGAATGGGCTTATTAAACAGCGACACTCGGATGAAGATGCTTGAACGGACTGGAGCAGGTGAAGATGTTTTAAGGAGAAATGCATTTTATAAAAGCATATAAAACATAAGTTTACTGGTTCAGCTATGTGTGGTATCTGTGTTTGTGAAGTCGGTGTTTGTTCCTGTCAGGTCTGCGTTTGTGACTCACCAAAGCCTTGACTCCCATCAACTGCACTTATCTCGTATAGGAAGTACAGAAGTTCTCCTTATTTTGGTGTGGTGTCACTGCTCGCTGAGCACCAAACTCCCCCTAGTGGTGTTCAACTTAGTATGACGGGATGCTTAATATTACTAAAGGCTGGAATAGGTGTGTTTGTTAAGGAGATATGTGACTGATTGCTATGTGGATTCTAGGTTGTTGATTACTGTCCCGAATGTTAAAATAGACAAATTTTGTTTTCTAGATATGTATTATTACTATTATGTTTATTTTTATTTCTATATAAATATTTTTATTAATTATTATTATTATTATTATTATTATTATTATTACATATTATATTTACTTTTGGCATTGTTCAATGTTTAATTACATTATTGCTTAAAAAAAATAAGTTTTATTTTTATTTATATTGTGTTTTTGAACAGTTGCCTAAAGTCAATTTACACTACACTGAAGCACTACAGATTTAGTAGCTTTTTTTTCTCCAAATAATTTATTGATATTGATCAACTTCTTATTTATTATAAGTATTATTCAGTATTTATTATGTATCCTAGAGTTACTTTTTAAAACTAATTATTTATTATCAGTGTAGTCAGATAAAGTGTAAATTAGGTGTAAATAAAAAAAAAAAGATCATTTAATATCAGTCATGACTAGGGCCAGACAGAATCTTTGGACTTTTTTTTGCAATTCTGCAGACATTTTTGTAAATCTGCAGATTTATGTAGAATGATTTTAGGAGTATTAAACTTAATATATGAAATAGAAAAATAATACATTTAAACTTTGTTTACAATGCAAATCCAATTAGATCCACTTATTTGGTTAACAAAACATTATAATATTACTATTGTTAAATCACAATAATATTAATTAAATAGTTTAAAAACTGAATAAATATTAATTTACACACATTTACACAAGAAAATACATAGACTCAATAATGGGTTAAAAATCTGCGGAAATCTGCAAATTTCTGTGCGCACAGATTCTGTGTGGGCCTAGTCATGACCAATCATTAAAATTCATCATTAATATAAGAAAGATTTATTATTATAAAAATTATTAAATGCCACAAACTAATTAACTTTTCATATTGATTTGTATAATTTTACTTGTATCATTTGAAACTTTTTTTTTAATCTTAAAGCAAAATTTGATTTGAATATTAACTGTGTCCATTAGGACTGTATGATATATGAAAAATCTGCCATTACAATATGTTGTATTGCTGCGATATATATTGCAATATTAATATAATATCACCTGATGATTTTTAATAGCTCTATTTTGGAAGATTTCATTTATTTAGATCAACTGGGATAATTCATTTTTATCTATGCAGTGCATAGGCTTAAAATATAATAAATTACAAGAATAAATTAAACATATAATAATAATATATTGTGGTTTTCTGAGGAGTGTAAAAGTAATCAAGGACAATGAAACATAAAATTACATGGAAATCATAGTACAAATCATTTAAAATCTTTAAATGAAATCTTTTAACCTTTAATAAACAATCATATTTTGCTATGTGACTATTGCGGATGCACACATTGCAATATCGATGTTGAAATTATATATTTTTTCAGCCCTAGTCTCCATTTATTATCGAATATAACATGAAAAAAATGATCTGATAATCAGTTACTGTAAAATTGTAATATCAATAGCGTGCTACTTTAGTTAAGTAGGAGCATAATCAGTCACCTTAGCAAACACACTACCATTAAAAAGCAAAGACTCCTGCTTTACCTGCTTTTAACTGTTGTTCTGATGTATTTACTCTTCCTCCCTCTCTGTGTGTCTGTGTAAACAGATGATCTTGTGCTAAGCGGCAGCTCTGATGACTTCAAGGTCTTGGCCCTCAGGGACCTGTCAGGTGACACCGTGTGGGGTCCATTTTCTGGCAGCATCCAATCAGGAGAGCCGACAGATGGACCTGCCAGTGAGGTAAGGGGGACATGAAGGGGTCAGCGATGCAGGCATGAGGATATTTGCTTGAGATTCCTATCTCTGCTCTGTCATGTCTAACATTACAGTGAGAAATGCTGTTACCAAACTGGAGTTGGTGATATCAGTGTTTTTGGATATGTTGCCATATGCTGTGGCCTTGTGTTACATAAAGTCCTCAGTATTTTTAGGTGTTTTGGTAACATATTAATAGTTTATTTTACAATTCATGGTATTATTAAATCATTAACTAACACTACTAGCTTAATAAACTACTAATTAGTTGTTTATTAATAGTTAGTAAGGTATAGTAGAAGTTGGGTTTAGGTTTTTGGGTAGGATTAGGATGCAGAATAAGATCATACTTTAAAACTACTTATGAACAGTTAATAGCTTAATAATAGGCTGGTGAGAAGCCAGTAGTCAATAGTATGACTTGTGACCTAAACTAAAGTGTTACCAGTGTTTTTTATTGTTTGTTTAGAGCTAAACAAAGAAGTTTGAAATACCAGAGCAGTAATTTACTGTAGGTGAACATCCGATGCCACCCATTTGGATAAATATTTAAACATGATGTGTGTTTTACACTTATTAACAAAATAAATATACAACTCACATTCACAGCATTGAGGAAATGCAGAAAATCTCGGCAAGTCAAGTCAAACCTAACTAACATTAGTATTTGGTTCTCGTTTGTTTATTCATTTTGAGGACCAAATGAAAATGTTCCGGCAACATTCTTTTTAGTTTTAGTTTTTTTGCATTCATAAAATAACATTGCAGGCTGAATATTTTTAATTAACATAAAAATAGCTTGAACAGAATGTTTCGAAGTTGTTTATTGTTTAAATAATTATGCAACCATAAAACAATATTCCTAGAATGATTAAGGGTGGTTATCTTCAAATGTAATGATTAATAAATATTTAATGGTGATGTTTGGGTATTATTTTGCAACAACAACAACAAAAAATAATAATATTTACCAGAACAATTTACCAGAATAATTTCCATGTTTATTTAAAATATAGTATTGAATGTATAAAGATTTATTCAATTTATTCCATATTCTACTTTTAATAAAAAAAAAAGAAAAAAAAAGAAATGGTTTGTATAGTGTAAATTATTGAGACCCATCCATCCATCTTCTACTGTATACTTCTACATTGTGGGTGCCTGAAGGGCTGATGATACTGATGTACAGTGGGGGCAATAACATCACCGTAAAGATGTTAGTGGAGCTTTCTAGGAAAGTTAATAAACTAAACATTATATTTCAGCTAAGAAAATAATCCTAGTGGCTATTGTTGCTTTAAAATAAATTTACATTTCAACTTCTACTTTTAAGTAACTTTTCAAGGATTAGGTTTTAACTCACGAGTGGACATGAAAAAAAAAAAACTCTACATTAACCTGTTAAGTAGGTACAGCAAATCAATGGCAGTTCCAAGGTGTTTACCATCCCAAAAGTTTTCACCTCCCCAAAAATACATTTTGGTTAACAGACTTTCTTTTTGGCCTGATTTTGTCTTGAAATGACTTCACACCTATTCGCTCTTGTGTTATGGCTATCAGTCATGTGCTGCAGGTCCATCTGATCATGTGATGTCAGCTCTGGGAGAGGTTTCCTGGTTCACTTCATGTTCTCAAACATTTCACAGATAACACACTTTTACACACAGACAAAGTTCCTCACTTGGCTGATTTCCATAAAAGATGGATGCATGGGAAATATTGCACATGATGCATCTTTTCCAATCCATATATATAGATATATACACATGTGCTGTGAACAGTGTTAAGTAAAGCAGAATAAATCCTTCACCCCCCTCTTAGCTATTAAATCGAGGATGAATGGGCGGACATCTGCTTCGCACTGATTTTATGGGAGTATGGGTGTATGCAAATGGCAGAGTACGTCTTGAGTGAGTGTCATCTTTTTTTTCCCCCCTGAACTGCGCTCAGTTGTTCCTGTATGAGATTGGCTGAAACCCCCCTCTCCTCCCTCCCCACCCCCCCGAGACGGACGCTTCTCTTTTATCTCAGCGTGGCGCCATCCTCTTGGACAACAAACCCCAGTGATTGATTTCTACTTGATAGGCTCTCATTTCTAAGATTTCATTTATTATGAGAATTTCTAAGGCCGTGCACCCAGCGCTCGCTCCCCTCCCTGCACCTTTCCTTCACCTCCTCCTAATCTCCCTCCCTTCCTTTCTCTCTCTCTCTTTCTTTTTTTAAAATCTCGTTATCGAGGCAGGGCTTTGTTGATGATTTTCAGCTCAGAACTTTCACATTCGCATTCTATCGCATTTGCTCTCGCTCTGCTATCTCTTGGTTGAAGGAGTGTGTATCTGGCAGAGATAGTGTGTCGAATCTCACATTCCTGCGGCATCTCTCGCCGTCCCTCCACATCCTCCTGAGTCTGGAGCTGCTGGGGTCAGTGGCCGGCAGGGTCCGTCCTGTTACGGACGCATTTGTGGATTTCGCAGTCTCCCCGTTTCACAGTTTAATCTGAGAGACATAAAAAGAGCTGGATTGAAGCAAAACAGGTGATTTGTAAACTGAAGTTGAGTGCGATGTTGTGATTCTTCGAAAATTTACACACTTATGGCCAACTGCATTCAAAAATATATAGAGCCAGATCAGTCTCAAAAATAATACATTTACACTTACACATCCAAAACAAAATTACATTTACAAAATGCAATTTGTAAGTTCAAAACACAATAAATACACAAATCTAATTTGTAAATTCAAAACACGATTCATAAATACACAAATCTAATTTGTAAGTTCAAAACACGATTCAAAAATGCGCAAATCCCATTCGTAAATTCAAAACATGATTCATAAATATGTAAATTCAAAATATGATTCATAAATGTGCTAATCCAATTCATAACTCAAATCATGATTCATAAATATGTAAAATTAAATTCGTAAATTCAAAACACGATTCATAAATACACAAATCCAATTCCTAATTCAACACACAATTCATAAATATGCAAATCCAATTTGTAAATTCAAAACACGATTCATGAATATGCAAATCCAATTCGTAAATTTAAAAACATGATTCATAAATACGCATATCCAGTTCATAAATTTAAATACACAGTTTATAAATACGCACATAAAATTCATAAATTCATAACACGATTCCTACATACTTAAATCCAATTCGTAAATTCAAAACAGGATTCATAAATATGCAAATCAAATTTGCATATTCAAAACACGATTCATAAATATGCAAATCCAATTTGTAAATTCAAAGCACAATTCATAAATACACAAATCCAATTTGTAAATTCAAAACACGATTCATAAATACACAAATCCAATTTGTAAATTCAAAACACGATTCATAAATACGCAAATCCAATTTGTTAAAGTAAACACACTATTCATAAATAAGTAAATCCAATTCGTATATTCAAAACACAATTCATAAATACGTACACACAATTCGTGAATTCGAAACACGATTTATAGAGACACAAATCCAATTAGTAAATTCAAAATACGAAAAATTTGTTAATTCAAAAATAGCCAAATTCAGTTTATTTGATGAAAATATTTATGTATTTTTACTTGTGAATTCACAAATTGTGTGTTTACAAATTGACAAATTGGATTTTGTAAATGTGAATTATGCTGTGCTTGTATGATTTAAATTTTGTAAATGTATTATTTTTTGACTGATCTGCCATCATAAAAATATGCCTAATTTAACATTTGTTTATTTAAATCCTAATGTTTTTTATCAAAAAAATATTTGCAATGAATTTTAATATGTTATCTTTTTATTTCTAAAGATGTTCAGTGACTAATATATTCTTTTAATTATAACATTTTTAATTTATTATAATATAATATCATATCATAAGTCTGTTTTGTTCAAATGTACCATATTACATATTACTAAGAAATGAATAATAATATTCATTTTCAAAGTGTGCTGTATATATAAATATTTGATAGATTTAAAGATATTTATAGAAATTTTTTATATATAGATATATAGAAATATTTGAGATTTATCTTTTCTGAAAATAAATATTACATTTTCATAACCTCGATGTCAGATTTATTTATATGCTCCTTATATTATGTAATATTTTTAAGTTATAGAAGGAAAATATCTGACTTTGCTCTTCGGAAGATTGAAGTAAGTTTGAAATTTTCAGTAACTATTACTATTACTATTTAAAAACTGTTTTTTATTCCTGCACGAGGAAGTTGTATAGCCGTTAAGATGTTATGAGAAGCTGATCATTAGTTCTGTTTCCTGCTCTAACAGATCCTTTTCTATTGATTATCACTTTATGTTGGCTGTTTTATGTAAATCTTCCTATTTGCATCTTTTCTGAAACTACCTTGACATCTATTATCTATTTGAATAAGTCTGTGATAACCCAAACCCTGAAAAAGTTTATATGAACAGTCATCTCTGTGTCCAGGTGGCCTCATTCTGTTTTGTGATTTTATAAAATGTTCGTTTTTAAAAACAGATCCATTATCACTGATAAAAAAAAAAGTTTTTATGCTCCAAAATCTGATTGGACAAGTCACGTTTGAAGCCGTTGTAAGCTGTTATGCACAGCACCTGTCAAAACCAGTTAGAGGTAATTGCAGATAAAGTGTGATTTGGAAAAGTTCCTGATGCAGTGACATTTAACATAATTGTGACTGAAGTGACTCAGAATGTGGTCAACTACTTTTTAGGGCTACTGTATATTCTTTGACAGAGTTTCTTTTTTTTCCAAATCGTAATGTTTAGCGTCTTTACCGAATGTAATAAAATTTAAGCATGTAAATTATTTATGTAAAATTATCATAATATGTATATTATTATGCAAAATTACCATAATATATATTACTAGTGTTATCTTTTTAGACATTTAGGATCGGTAAGGTTTTTAATCTTAAATATGTATGTAAATATATACAGTTGAAGTCAAAATTATTAGCCCCCCTGAATTATTAGCAACACC